ATACAAATTCTGATATAGATATGTGAAAAAAAATATGCTAATAAAGTTAGACTTAGCTATATAAATATAAATTTATTAATCTACCATATTAAGTCTAAAGTTATTTATAAAGATATAGTTAAATATTCAAATATTTTAATCTTAACGATTCTAAAACTATAAATAATTTTAAGAATGAGACATTAGGCAATATGATCACAGAATCTTATTATATTTAGGCTAAGGTTTATAACTATATCTTAGTAGATAACTTTATAAAATCTAAATATAAGAGAATTAATAAAAAGAATATAGATAAGATAACTACTAATACATATTTTTTTAACATTAAAATGCATTTTATTAGATGATTCATGAAATAAGACTGAAGACTTTGACTTAATAATCTAAGTTTATCAAGATTGTCTATTTAAAAAGAAGTATTTTATGTAAAAATATAAATTTTAGAACAAAAAATCATGTAATATCTTTGGTCAAATCAGAGAAAATGCTCTTTATCTTATAGATATTAAATACTAAATATTAACAGATAAAGTTATCTTTTTGTCATATGATTATTAACATATTATAATATATAAGAATATGGTTAAAGATAATATACCTTATGAAGTAGCTGAAAAAAGAGCTATAAGGGTCAAGCTTTTAGAAAAGTATTTAAATAAATATACATTTCACATAATTCTAATAATTTATTATATTTATAATTAATAATAAGTCAATATTATTCAAAAAGAGATTAGATAACTATTATTTTATTTCTTTTTTCTTCTTTGATCTAATAAAAATTTCAAGAGATTAAGCTTATTCTTATTATCTATTCTGATTGCCTATTCTGATTATATATCTTAATTGTTTTTCTTTTTTTGAATGAATATGAGAAAAAAGTATTTATTATATTTTTTAACATAATAAATATTCAGTTAAAGAATAAATCATTAAAATAGCATATGTAAAATGCAAAATATAGCATTTTTTTAATAAACTAAAAATCAAGAAAAGTGTTGAAAAATAATAAAAGCAAGATATAAATATCATATAATTAAAATATTAATTGATATATTTTTTAACGCAAATAAAATTAGTAAAAGCTTAGCTAATAAATTGAAAAAAATATGTAAGTAAAGATAATGTTATAATATTGTGATGCTTATTTGTCACTTATTTTAATTTGAATTTTAATAATATTATAATTTATTATAATATTATAATGTTTATTTATCACCTATTATAACTAATTGAGATTCCATTTTTAATGGTAAGTATTATAAAAATAAAAGAGTGAAAAAGTTAGTTTTTTTAAAATCTAATATAAATTGTCTAAATTTATTTTTCTGATACAAGGAAAAAAAAAGACTAATATCTAAAAGTAATACAGATTTTAATAGTTTTAAGATTATTAAAGATTAGAATCTAAAAGTTGATCTTGTTTTAGGTTTCCTATAGTTATGGTTATATAAAGTAAAAATAATTATAAATAAAAAAGGTTGATAATCTATGGTGATTTTATATCATTTTGTAAGAATCTGGATAATGATAAATTTTTTTAAATTCTGATCTTAAGATAAAATCAATTAAGTCTACTTCATTCACTTCTTTCTTATTATAGTTTAAAAAAAGAAAATCTATTAGGTTAAGTAAGATCTCCTTGAAGATTCTATCAAATTAAAGGAATAAATACATTTAAAAAAAGATAACTTATTAGAATATAATATCTAGATAAGTTATTAGAATTTACTAATAGGATAAGTTAGATTATATCTTGTAAATTGATAGATTAAGAAAGGATATAGTAATTGAACATATTTGTAAATGTTAATGATAAAAAGAAAGCATTTAAATAGTTTGTTACATTTGTATCTTATTCAAAAATAATAATGTTACAAATTAAAAGTTATGAAATAAAAGGAAAATAAGTATTATTTGATAGAAGCATTATTGCATTTATAGCTATAAAGTAAAAAAAAAACAAGTTAGTCATAAGATAAAGTATTTACAATCATTTTAGATTTGAAATAAAAATTGTAAAATAATAATTTATCTTTAGTTAAAGAATTGATAAAAAGAATCATTAAATCATTTGCTAGAAATTAACATAAAATTTACTCATAATTACGTAATTAATTTGATATAAGTACTTAGTTTTTGATATTTTAAAAAAAAAGTTCATGAAAGATACTTAGAATTATTTTAAAGATGAATATTTTCCTGTATCAACATTATATTCTTATGAGAACAAGTTTTATCTTAATATTATGAATGAGCAAAAATTAATAGAATTATTTATAGATCAATCAGATTATGATTACAGTCAACTCTTATTATAACGAATTCTATGTCCTAGACCTCAACTTCGCTATAAGGCTATAGTAAAGATTTTAAAAGATTTGATTGGCTAATTCACTATAACAAGAGTATTTTTATTATATTTGTTTAAAAAATTCGTTATATCAAGAGTTCGCTATATCAAGAGTTGACTGTATATCTTAAAACTCTTTTAATAAAATTAGAAAATTGTACTTAGTACTTATAATAGAAAATTACTGTTTAAATGATTGGTAAAAATTGTCAATAAATATAATGTCTCAGGTCAAGAAAAGGTGATTTATAAGAATATAACTTCAGAACTGAGAAGTTATATATTTTTTTGGTTATAATCAGTTTAATATATCAGATACATGAAAAAGTTTCATAAATAGATAAGTTACTTTTTAGCTATTTTTTATTATTATTATTTGATTTGATAAAAATTATTTTTAATAAAAAAGGTCTTTTTTATACTTTTAATAAATGAACTATATTATATAGATGCATTAGCTTCTTTTGAGCCTCTTAATAAATCAATTATATTATTTTATACCAGTTATATAGTAGAAGCTCTTCCAATTATATTATTTATTACTTCAGATGAATTTAAAATTACATTAGAAAAAGTCATTAATTTATTAAACTATTTTTCTGCTACATATATTCTTTAGATATAATCTGCAAACTGAACTGATAATTTTTATAACTAATGATTTCAGTATAAAGCATAACATATTAAAGCTTTATTAGCTACAAAAAATTTAACTTCTATATATATTTCATGTTTTGCAAGTATTTTAACAATGATTTTATAATTTAAAGTATCATATTAATAGGAGGAACAGATAAAAATTATGAAAAAAATGAAAAAAATCCTCTATATATATAAATTTTAAAAATAGAGACACATTATAATAAATTCAAATAAAGTTTATATTGTTCTTACTTTTTATTAAAAAAATATTTTAAACTTTTGTAAAAACGTCATTAATTTAAGCATATTTTTTTCATTAAGATTACTATTCGTGATAATAATACAAAAAATTACATTAAATGAAGCTTTGTACATTAAAAGATATTATTTTTTTTGAGATTATGATAAGTATTAATTAAAGTTTAGTATTATTTTCATTATTCAATTATTAAAATCCTAATTAAATTCACAGAATGCAAATATATAATTTAATTTAAATTTTTCAATTTGTAACTGAAAATATAAAAAGTTTTACAAACGGTATTTGCTTAGCTTTTTACATAAACATCTGGTTATTTACAAGTTACCAAGTGATTTTTCTATCTTAAATAAGAAACTGTAAATGCAAATTCTATTCAAAGAATAAATTCTGAAAACAAATATTTAGTACTAAATATTACATAGAATAATTCCTTTATTTATATAATGAATAGCATCTTAAAAGTATATTTCTATTTGTTAAAATGTCAGGTACTTCTTGTAAATATCAAGAAGCCATTATGATTAAATTTTATATTGTAAATTTTAACTTTTTATCATCTTAAATATCTGATAATTATATACTTTATGCATATATTATAATTGATAAATAAGAAAGTAAAAGGAGTAATAATAGCAAGTATAAGTTTGTTAATTTATTATTGTATTACAATTACATTTTTATTACTGGTTTTCTTAAATAAAAACTTTATTTTTTTATTCTATCTTGTAAGGAATCAAATAATAATATTGAAAAAACCAATTTTTCTAAATTTACACACTTTTTAGAAGAGATTAAAGGAGATTACCTAAATTCTGATCTATAACTACATATTGTATTAAATAAATTTGTGAGTATTATCAAACAGCAAAATCAGTATCTATCCTTTGTCTAACATCCTTTCTTTACAATCATATGAATCTAATGTTTGTATTAGAAATGGATCTATGATTTGAGTTCAAGTTGAATCTGTCAAATGATATAAAATAGAAGAGTCTAGCTAAAAAGAAAACTATTTACTACCAAAATAAAAAAAATTTGGATTTTTAGATTATTCCTAATTGAAAATAAGAAAAGCTAATAAAAAGGAGTATTATTTGAATAAAAATATAAGAAAAAATCAATCGAATTAAAGTAAGGTATTTGTATTAGCATTTATAATGTTTTTACAATGCATATAAACATTTATTAAAACATTTTAAATAGAAACTTAATTTATTACATTTGTTAAAATTTTACAATAGCATTTATAAAATATGATTTTTTTTCTTAAAAAAAAGAAAAAATAGAAGAAATACATTTTAAAAAAGTGCTTGATAGTTTTAAATAAAAAATTTCGAAGAAATGCTTATTTTCATTTTATAATTTTGGATTTTTTTTATATATTTACTATTTCTGCGGTACAGTTAAATAATATGACTTCGGCCGGCAACTAACGGCCGGCATTATAGAGTGTGGCTGAAGCGCGGTTGGCTGCGCCACAAACATAGATTCGGGATTGCGATCTGCCTATTCTGGGTTAGCCCTCAAGCTGATCATATTAAAATAGCATTATGCCATTGTGATACCTGCACTATAAAACTCAAATAGACACGTCTTTTTTGCTAACGCGTCTTCCTTCATTTGCCTCAATATCATAAATACATCTCTAGAAATTCGGGAAATCATTCAAAAGCTCTTAAAAAATAAAAAAGTAGGCGTAGTTCCTCTAGTGAAACTAATAGATAAAATTAATAAGATTTGATGGGGCTTTATGTCCAGGACTTTGTACCTATTGGGATTCCTAGTAGGAGCAATGCAAGTACTGAAATGGATACGTTTGTTGGGATTCCTAATGAATATCATGGAACATATCATTATATTTTTAGCTAATTCTGGAGGAGTTTGCTATGTACCTTTCTTTGCATAAATAAAAAATTATCTATTGGTGTATTCCTGTATCCGCCAACAAATCTTATTTTTTGTCTAATATGCTTACTGGGAATTATTATTTCATTTCTCACCTAGTTATTGCTTTCTATAGGCTGATATCGAGAAAGTAAATAGCTTGTGGAAGAAAGCTAGTAAAGCAAGAAATACATCGTCACTACCAGTAACATCGATAATAAAATCTACAGTTCGTACATTTGACCAGAAGACGATTGCCTTGGGATTCATCCGCTCCTATAAATGTTCGAACCATTTGCAAGTAGAGACCAAGTGCAACGATTGTGTCCCAAGAGAGAGTGTTTATGATGCAGAGATGTACAGAATCCTGCATAACTGGCTTGCAAAGATGTATGGGTTCGAAATAACTGGCCAGTGGCATCTAGAAGAAATTAGTAGTGATGGAAACTGGCATCACCTTTATTGTGATCTAACGATAAAGAGACCCGACAATCATCATCCCTCAGCCATCCTAGAGCTTATAGCAACAACTTATGTCCCGAAAATTAGGAAGCACTTTGATCGTGTGCTAAAGTATGCCGACCAGCTTTGCCCTGAAGAAGTTTGGATCATGCATTTCTCCAGAGAAGATTTTGTTGTTACTGACCATATTGACTGTGCAAAAAGCTTCAGGAAAGGGGAATAAATGTCGTCCACTTCTGGCATGATAAAGAGTTCATAAATATAAGGATGAGTGCCAGATTTCGGGATGCCACTGGCAAGCTTTTCGAAATTATTGATGAGCCAATTCTTTCATTGTTGTATTTTATTTTTTTTGTATTAATAAAGCATCCTGGTGCAGTGTTGGTAAATTTCAAGGTCATTTCCCTTTTTTTGAAGAGATCTAGGTCACTTTGTATATGATCACGTGATAGATTTCATAGTAAAATCATCACATGATTAGGTCATTTTAAGGTCACTTCAAGGTCATTTGCCAACACTGTCCTGGTGGGGATCCCGATGAATTTTATTACAAGCAAAATCCCAAATTTTCTTTCTACGGATTTAAGAACAATCATCAAATGTTAAGTAGATTAATTTATCTTAATTGTTACCATAAAGATGACTTAAGAAATTTCAAATAATTTCATCGTTATAAGAATCGTAATTTAATAAATAATTTTATAGAATCGTTTTCACTAAATTCTTTATTTATAAATTTGTAAATTCTCTGATCAAATAACAATGATTGGTTCCATAATTTTTACTATATATTTAATTCTTCCCGATATACGATTTCTCAATACAATAGCGAATCATTATATGATTATCTTTATATACAAAAAGAAAAAACGGAAAAAAGGCTTTAAACCCTAAATCGAGCCGAATTGGGCAATTCTAGATTCGGTATTGGGCGAGTTTTGGCAATAGACATGTTTCGGAGGTTTCGAATTAGGCCGAATCCTGAAACCCTAAAAAGGTCCCAAACATTTCGCCTTACAAAACAGTTTTACGTCCCGATACCAATCAATTTTCAAAAAAAATGGTACAAATAAATAAAACCGTTAGATTGATCAGCAGAATCGACGGGATGCCGCTAAAACCTGGCGTTTGTGAAAACTCAAGGTCACGGTCATTTGTGACATTTGCGCTTTCCTCACATGGGATAGATCCCGCACTTTTGCGCGTTTTTGTTTAGTTACTCGTGTTGTTTTAAATATGAAAGGCGCGGAAAATACGCGTTTTTTTTTGTCATACAGATGTTACGTTTTAGGGGATCTCACAAATAAAGGTTTTATAAATTTATTTGTAATTAATTAAAAAGGAAAACACGAATAAAATATATAATTGAATGGAAAAAAAATTATATTACAAAAATGTAAACATCAATTTAGTAATAATTATTGTTTTTCCTCTTCCTATTCACCTTTCACTACTACATAATTCACGAAAAAATTTATCAAATAATCTAAGTTACAAATGAATTTTTTATCGCCTACTTGCATTTCCAAAAACAATCCTTTTTGTGTAATATAAATAATATTTTGGGATAAAAATTAAAGAAATTTAAAAAGAAGAAAAAGTATTACGCGCGGGCAATTTTTGTAACGCCCATGTGACAAGTAAGCAAGGATTGCAATTTCCGATGATCTAGTTAAATATTGGTTAGCGTGTTCAAGTTAATGTGGAAAGGGCGTTCCTAATTAATAAATCGCTGCGTAAAAATGATTATAATTGCTGCGTGTCGACAATCAACATTAATATTTATGGTTATATGGTTATGGAAAACACCACATGATGTTAATTTGTCATTATGACATTCGGTCAAAACCGAAGTGAAAAAGAATCACGCGATCATTTATTTTGGAACAATATCTCGTGATACAACATTCTCTATTAAACAAGAATAACGTTTTTTAGTTATCTTTATCACATTATTTCGACGACGTAATCGCTGTGCAAGGGTGCCTAGAAAAGTCGATTTTAATCTTTCTCACACAATGATATCCAAAACTATATAAAGAAATCGCGCATGTGTACTTGTACTTTGCTTAATATGGATCATTATTGAAAAAAATTTTTTTTTTTTTCCTCCCTTGTTTCCCTTGTTAGTCTCTCCTTGTTTTTTTTTTTTCTTTCCTCGCGAAAGGTTGTTTATTTTTTTTTGGTTATTTGATGAAAGAAAAGTTTTTTTTTCGTTTACACGCGATACAGTTTTATGTTATTTTGATCCGGTTGTGTGAAAATATTTTATAACCCGATATTAAAAAAAAGTGAGTTTTTTTCTCTTTTTACAAATCATAAGGCTTTTGTCCTTTACGTTAGTCAAATAAAAAAAAACTTTTTAAAGTATCCAATAGTTTTCTTTTCTTAAAATAAAAATTTCTTATAAATATATAAAAAAAAAAATTGGAAATAGATAACGATAACGTATTTACCAAGCTACGATATGAATAATCCTAATGAAAATCAAGCTATTGATATTAATAACGCTAGAATCTCTAATGTGACCGAACCCTCAAATGCTAATAACTTGATAAACGATCGAAATAGTCAGAATTTGTTTAACTGGGTATGAAAAGAATAAGGAAAAAAAAAACCTTAATTTGATTAATTCGAGCTTGTCTTTTTATTTTATTTTATTTAAACTGATCGATGTAATAATGATTTCCTTTTTTGGCAACGTATATCAATAGTGTGAAGAGGATGGGGAATTTGAGTTTGATGATGAATTTCCTAGGATTGTCAGAAATCAAACTGAAGTTGTACAACAAGGAGGTGATCATCATGAATCTCAACCAACGCTGCAATCTGCTCAACTTGAATTGGTCGATAATGATAGTGATTTCAATTTTGAGGGAGATGGAATCATTGGTTCGAGGCAAATTTCTTCATCAATTATTAATAATGATCAAGTAATCACAACTATAACAACTGATAAGAATGTCATAGAAGGGCAAAAACAAAATGACGAAGAGGAGGTTGGTTCTTCGCAACCATCTCCTATTAATCAGGATACTTTTCAAAATTTGGATGATTTGATGACAGACGAAATTGGTAAAATAAATCATGGTAATTTATGTACTGCACATAATAATGAAGTTCCAGTGCAATCAGTTTTGATTGATCAAAAGGATGTTGTTACTTTAGAAGATGTGATTACAAAATCTCAATCCCCTGAAAAAGTTCTGAAGTCTAAACAAACGCCACAAAGAGGCAGACAACGGAAGAGTGCAAAGAAAACAAGAGTTGATGCAGAAATAATGATTTCAGCTGCTGAAAACCCTAAATCGTCACCATTCAAATATAAAAATGATCAAGCCGATCAGAATGAATATTTGTCAGGTAAAAACGATTTCTTTTTTTAATCCTTCTGATCTTAATCGATCTAATTAATAACTTTTCATCTATATTACTTTTAATGTTTTAGCTTCAGAGAATGATCCAAAAACCAAATCTGGTAGAAAGGTTCAAAGGCCAGAGTATTTCAATCCTACAATTTTTGGATATCGCAAAAAGCTTGCATTGGAATCTAAAGACTTTGTCATTAATACTTCAAAGAAAACATATAAAAAAACTGGTATGTACTACGTTATTCACCCTTTTAATTAAAGGAAAAAAAAAAATAATATTCTTAACGTAAATCGTCATTCTTCATTCAGGTAAACGTAGAACCAAGCACAAGCTTAAAAATGCGAATTTTCCACTTTCTGAAAATAATCCTGAGATCTCATCAGAAGATAAACAAATGTATGCGGTAGATGCATCAACGAATTCGCAAGACTTAATACCAATACAAACATCAAATGGATCGATTCTTTATGATCCAAACGATCCATCTACAATATATGTTGATCCTGAAGATGATAACATAGTATGTGTTTTTTGTTGTGATGGAACTTCTGAAAAACACAATTGGATCGTTTTTTGTGACAAGTGTGATGCACCCTATCATCAACGTTGTCATAAACCCATGATAGAAGATAGCGTGGCGGAAGATTCTCATTCAGAGTGGATATGTTCAAATTGTAAAAATATGCCTCGGTTAAGTAAACGAATAAAAGTTGACAAAAAGTATCATGAAATTCATGAGATTTACGAGGATAAAGAAAAGTTACGTGAAGTTACAAAACCATTGCCAATTGGTGCAGTGCTGACGAGAGAACAGGTACTTACATGCTATTTTATGTGAGTTAATCAAACAGAAGCGTAATAACATATTATTAAATTTTTAGAAAGTAGAATATCTTTCGTCTTTATCGCAAGATGTTTTGGTAAACCTTTTATTGTTAGCAGAGCAAATGGAGCCTAATATCCCATTGTATCCGGCAAACATTTTGGGAAAATATACTACATCTAACATGTTATCTAGCAATATTGAAACGGATGACACAAATCGATCCCCTCAAGACACAGGGGAGCTAGTAGTGGATGTACCTTCGTCTGGTTTATCGACAGCAGAAGTTTCAAACCTATCAACATTGGACATATCAACAAATTTGAACCCTGAAAATATTGAACCTGCACCTCAGAATAATTCTGACCAAGATGCTCAACAAGAACCTATAACTCCCGAATCAGAACCAAGTTTACCTTCAAGCAGTTTGAAAGAAATTACTGAACATAGTAAAGATTCATACTTAAATCTGTACATAAAAGCAATGTCCGAGATCGGAAATCCTAACGGCAGTACTGCACAAACTATGCATGCCTGGATTAAAAGGTTTGTTTGTTCAATCGATGTCTTTGACCTTTTTTTAAAATCCCCCAACATTAAGATTAACTGAATATCGTAAATCTTATTAGCAATTATAATGTGCCGGAGAACTTTTCCGCACGTGCAAAGAAATCTCTTCATTATGCCGTTCATAAGGGCATTTTCATAAAGAACAGTAGGATGACATATAAATTTAATCCCGATTATATTAAAGTGAGTTTGTGAGTTTGGTATTTAAACGAAGTATTACATTATTTAAAATTCCTATGATCCTTAATTATTATAATTATATTTTCTTCATAGGCGGTCAATATAAATGATCATACAACTGCAACTCCAACTCAAAATGCGGGAATAAATGTTAATGAAAATGATGGTACATCTTACAAAGAACTTACAGCAGGATTGCAGAATGATGGAGAAACACCTGGTATTGAAAAGCAAAATTCTTTAGCAGAAATCAAAGATTTTAATTTTTATACAAATCA